ACAGTCACCCACCCAAAACCCCATAGAGACTGTGTCTGTCCCCCGACCACCTAAATTATTTAAAGAAATAAAAACAAGAGGAGTTCAACATAAAAATCTAATAAAAATTAAAACTAACTCCTCAGTAGCACAAAATAAGAGAATGAAATGTGGGCTGTTAAATATCAGGTCTCTGTCCTCTAAAGCTGTTTTAGTGAATGAATTAATATCAGATTATGATATTGATTTACTTTGTCTTACTGAGACCTGGTTGTCCCACGAGGAGTATGTTAGCCTAAATGAATCCACCCCCCCCAGTCATATTAATACTCACATTCCTCGAGGCACAGGCCGAGGAGGTGGAGTAGCAGCCATATATGATTCGAGCGTTTTCAATGGACCCTAAACCTAAACTAAATTATAATTCATTTGAAAGCCTTGTTCTTAGTCTTTCTCACCCAAACTGGAAAACACTGCAGCCAGTTCTATTTGTTATAGTGTACCGCGCTCCTGGACCGTACTCTGATTTTATATCTGAATTCTCAGAGTTTTTATCAAGTTTAGTCCTTAAATCAGATAAAGTAATTATTGTAGGTGATTTTAATATTCATGTGGATGTTAACAATGACAGCCTTAGTAATGCATTTATATCATTAATAGACTCAATTGGCTTCTGTCAGAGTGTAAATAAACCAACTCATTGTTTTAATCACACTCTTGACCTCGTGCTACCATATGGCATTGATATTGTCTTCCCACATAATCCTTTCCTATCTGACCATTATTTAATAACTTTTGAATTCATACTATTAGATTATAAGCCATTAGGCAAAACTTCCTACAGCAGATGTCTATCTGACAGTGCTGTAGCTAAATTTAAGGAGGAGATTCCTTCAGTGTTTAATTCAATGCCATGTCTGAATTTAACATAGTCCTATAACGACTTTAGTCCCTCTGAAATTGATAATCTTGTCGATAGTGCTACAGGCTCACTACGATCAACATTAGACTCTATCGCTCCTATAAAAAGGAAATTATTAAAACATAGGAGACTAGCACCTTGGTATAACCACCAAACCCGCCAGTTAAAACAAATAGCTAGGAAATCTGAAAGGAAATGGCGCTCTTCCAAATTATCAGAATATCGCTCAATTTGGCAAGATAATCTTAAAATTTATAGAAAGGCCCTCCGTAATGCCAGAGGAGCCTATTACTCAGCACTAATAGAAGAAAATAAGAACAACCCTAGGTTCCTCTTCAGCACTGTAGCCAGGCTGACGGAGAGTCACAGCTCTATTGAGCCACATATCCCCATAAACTTAAGTAGCAAGGACTTTATGAGCTTCTTCTATAATAAAATTATTACTATTAGAGAAAAAATTAATAACCAACTGCCATCAACAGTTATCAGTGGCTCTCCAAGTTCAGGGACTTCTGTCAATGTAAACTTAGATATATATTTAGACTGTTTTTCTGCTATCGATCTTCATCAGTTAACTTCAATCATTTCTTCATCGAAGCCATCAACCTGTCTATTAGACCCGATCCCAACTAGACTGCTTAAAGAAGTTGTTCCCTTAATTGGCACTTCTTCACTGGATATGATTAATCTCTCTTTATTATCAGGATATGTACCACAGTCCTTTAAAGTAGCTGTAATTAAACCCCTTCTTAAAAAGCCCACTCTTGACCCAGGGGTTTTAGCTAACTATAGACCAATCTCTAACCTCCCCTTCCTCTCTAAGATTCTGGAGAAAGTAGTCGCCAAAGAGTTGTGTGACTTTCTACATAACAATAGTTTATTTGAGGATTTTCAATCAGGATTTATGACCTTCTGATTGCTTCTGACAATGGACTTGTATTATTAGATCTTAGTGCTGCATTTGACACCATTGACCATAATATTCTTTTGGAGAGACTTGAGCATCAAATTGGCATTAAAGGAAGCGCACTAAGCTGGTTTAAGTCATATTTATCAGATCGTTCGCAGTTTGTACATGTTAACGATGAATCTTCAATAAATACTACAGTTAGTCATGGAGTTCCGCAAGGTTCTGTACTTGGACCAGTACTATTTACTTTATATATGCTCCCTTTAGGCAACATTATTAGGAATCACTCCATTAACTTTCACTGTTATGCAGATGATACGCAGTTATATCTATCAATCAAGCCCGATGAAATTAATCAATTATCTAAATTACAAACATGTCTTAAGGACATAAAATCCTGGATGACCTGCAATTTTCTTATGTTAAACTCAGAAAAAAACAAAATTGTTGTTCTTTGCCCCAAAAACCTTAGAGACTCACTGTCTAAAGATATAGTTACTTTAGATGGCATTACCTTGGCCTCTAGCACCACTGTCAGGAATCTTGGAGTTATCTTTGATCAGGATTTGTCATTTAACTCCCACATAAAGCAGACCTCTAGGACTGCCTTCTTTTATTTACGTAATATTAGAAAAATTAGACACATCCTATCACAGACAGATGCAGAAAAACTAATCCATGCATTTCTTACTTCAAGGCTGGATTACTGCAACTCTTTATTATCAGGTTGCCCCAATAAGTCCATTAAAACGCTCCAATTAATTCAGAACGCTGCAGCACGAGTACTGACAGGAACTAGAAAACGAGATCACATCTCTCCTGTACTAGCTTCTCTGCACTGGCTCCCTGTAAAATGTAGAATAGAATTTAAAATCCTCCTCCTCACCTATAAAGCTCTTCATGGTCAGGCTCCTTCATATCTTAAAGAGCTCATAGTACCCTATTACCCCTCTAGAACACTACGTTCTTTGAATACTGGGCTACTTGTGGTTCCTATAGTCTCTAAAAGTAGAACAGGAGCCAGAGCCTTCAGTTACCAAGCTCCTCTCCTGTGGAACCAGCTTCCAGTTGTGGTTCTGGAGGCAGACACCCTCACCACATTCAAGAGTAGGCTTAAGACATTCCTCTTTGATAGAGCTTATAGTTAGGGCTGGATCAGGTGAGTCCTGAACCATCCCTTAGTTATGCTGCTATAGGCCTAGACTATCGGGGGATTTCCCATGGTGCACTGAGCTCCTCTTTTCCTCTCTCTTTCTGCACTCATTCATGTCCCATTAATGCATGTTACTAACTTCACTTCTTCCCCGGAGTTCTTGTGCTTTCTCGTCTCGCAGGTTCTTGTTGATCCTGGTGGAGCCTCCTGCCATGGTCCTGCTAGATTGCCATTGCCAATACTGTTGTTGCTGTGCACCTGTCTGTCTGTCTGTCTCTCGCTCTCTCTGTCTCTCTCTCTCTCTCTCTCACCCCAACTGGTCGAGACAGACGTCCACCCACCTAGAGCCGAAGGATCTGTCCTAGGTTTCTGCCTTTTAACAGGCAGTTTTTCCTTGCCCTTGTCGCCAAGTGCTTGCTCATGGTGGTAGTGTTGGGTCTCTGTAATTAATGTTTTAAAGAGTTCGGTCTAGACCTGCTCTATTTGAAAAGTGTCCTGAGATAACTTCTGTTATGAATTGGCGCTATACAAATAAAACTGAATTGAATTGAATTGAATTGATGATGATGAACATGACAACAGCAATGATGGGGGACAATGATAATCAACAATGTTGCTAATAATGAAAATAGTAACTCATAATTAATAATGAATAACGTTACTCATAATCAATAATGCTGCTAATAATGGAAAATGGACCTGTACTTGTATAGCTTTTACACTACGTGCCACATTCACCCTTTCACACACAGTGATGGCAAAGTCCATTGAACAGAAACTAACACATTCACACACCGATGCACATCGGGAGCAATTTGGGGTTCAGTATCTTGCTCAAGGATACTTTGACATTTGGCAGGAGGAGCCGTGGATCGAACCAACAGCCTTCCGATTGGTGGACGACCTGCTCTGAGCCACAACTGCCCCCCATCAATAATGTTCCTAATAATCAATAATGTTACTAATACTCTGATGTCACTAATCATCAATAATCTCTTCCCCCATTCAGTGAACGTGTGTGACGAGGAGCGTTTGATTTGTCAGAACGGAGGAACTTGCGTCGACTTCCAGCGCTGCATTTGTCCAGACAACTTCACAGGTAAACACACACCTGGATGATGTCACAGCTCAGGTGATGTCACAGCTCAGGTGTCTGATGATGTCATGTGTTCAGGTTCGTTGTGTGAGCAGAGCGTCTGTCTAAAGAAGAACGGTTGCTTCGACAACGCTGAGGGCTCCGCCTCCTCTCTGACCTCACACCTTTACCTGCTGACCCTCAGTCTGATCTCTGCCACCCTCTGCTGACCACGCCTACCAACCTGGGCCACGCCCACCACTGATGATATCGCTGAGATTTTGTTTATTGTTTATTTTTATACCGTTGGATAAGGATATGACATCATATTCTATACATCTGTGAGGATGTTTCCTGTGATGCATTCGATCGCTGCAGCAAGACGCCAGTTACTTCCTGTCACGTGGCTGATCGTGTGTTCCCTGCTCAGGTATCAGTTATTGATCACTGCAGGCTCTCAGTACTATGTACAGTACAGTATGTAGTACTGTATGTAGTACTATATACAGTACTACATCATTTCTACGGGCCACTGTGATTGACTGCAAGATCGATGACTTCAGGTCTGTTTTATTGTTGTTGTTGTTTTCATTTTTGTATTAATTATTTACCTGCTGGGTCTGATGTAAACATTTCTCAGGATTGAAAAAACACTTCCTGTTTAAGAGTTGCCTAGCAATGCAAACATGTCACAATATTTAAACCTGATATTGTTGGTGTGTGTCTGCGGAGTTCTAAATAATAATAATAACAATAACAATAATAGTAATAATATCCTGTATATGTGGTAAATAATAACAGTGTTTACTGTTGGTTGTTTGTGATGTGCTTGAAGACTTCCTGGTTTCACCTTTACTGGATGTAAAAACATTGTGAGTCTCTTGCTCTCTGATTGGCTGATCTGACTGTCAATCATCAGCCTCAGGACAACGCCAGAGAACTCATCACACTGCTGCATTCTGATTGGTCAGCGCTCACGCGAAAGTCACTGATCCTAGTGACAGACAGTTCCCATGGAGACAGACTGTCATGTTGTGTTGAACTTTGCATTTTTTATTGTTTGTTTGTTTGAAAGTGAAAATGTTAAAGGTCAGTGAACTTCAAGATGGAAATAAAACTCACCAATACGTCTGTAGCACATCTCGCTACCACCAAGGTTTCTCTCAGCACACAACACAACAACAGAGGTCAATAAACAATTGTCAGCCACACACACTATTAATACACAACTTAGGTCTGCTCCGGTTGTGTCTTCTGTTGTGTGTCGTCCTCCAGGTCCAGTTCACACCTGCCTTCAGAGAGGTGAGTGTGATTACTCAATGAGGACCAGCTGAGGTCATCAACTCACCTGGAGCTGCTCTCACAATCCTTCCCCACACCTTTCTCTCTTTCCTGCAGCTGGACTCTCTCGCTCTCTCTCTCAATAAATCCTTAATTCATCAACGTAGATGATAAAAACAGCAGTTTCAGTCGGAGCAGACCAGCTATGGAAACAAACCACAGAGAGGCTGCGATACAACCCAGGCAGAGGGAGAGAGACACCATGTGACTCTTTGTATAAACAATATAATGTTTAATATCTCATACTCCCAGAAGATAATAAGACGATGTACAAGAGGCATCATTGCGGAAAAAAATTCTCAGCTTTTATTTATATTTGAACAAAAAGTGGCATGTCCAAAATTATACCTTACCTTCTCAGTAATGAATAGAAAAGCCTTTATTGGCTATTACAGCAATCAAACGCTTCCTATAATTGCTGACCAGCTTCAGTCTCCACTGGTATTTTTGCCCATTCATCTTTACCGATGAGCTCCAACTCTTTCAGGTTGGAGGGTCCCTGATCTTTTAGCTCCCTCCACAGATTCTCAATTGGATTCAAGTCAGGACTCTGGCTGGCCACTGCAAAACGTTAATGTGTTTGTCCGCAAACTATTTCTTCACCACTGTTGCTGTGTGTTTTGGGTCGTTGTCGTGCTGAAATGTCCACTGGTGCCCAAAGCCAAGTTTCTCTGCAGACTGCCTGATGTTGTTGTTGACAATCTTGATGTATTGCTCTTTTTTCATGGTGCCGTTTACTGTGATTAGGTTCCCTGGTCCACTGGCTGAAAAACACCCCCAAAGCATTAGGTTCCCACCACCATGTTTGACAGTGGGGATGTTGTTCTTAGGGTTGAAGGCTTCTCCTTTTTTACGTCAAATGAATCATTGTGGCCAAACAATTCAATTTTTGTTTCATCTGACCATAAAACAGAAGACCAGAAGTCTTCTTCTTTGTCCAGATGAGCATTTGCAAAGGCCAAGTGGGCTTTTGTGTGCCTTATCTGGAGAAGTGGCGTCCTTCTTGGTCTGCGTCTGTGGAACCCAGCACTGTGCAGTGTCCGTTGGACTGTCTGCCTTGAGATGTTGCCACCAGCAGAGCCCAGATTCACCAGGATGGCCTTGGTGGTGATCCTTGGATTCTTTTTCACCTCTCTCACTATCCTCCTGGCCAGCACAGGTGTCACTTTTGGCTTCCAACCACATCCTCTGAGATTTCCCACAGTGCAGAATGTCTTGTATTTTTTAATAATTCTTTGCACTGTAGCCACTGGAACTTGAACACATTTAGATATGGCCTTATAGCCCTTTCCTGACTTGTGAGCAGCCACAATGCGCAGCCGCAGGTCCTCAGTGAGCTCCTTTGTCTTAGCCATGACTGTCCACAAACCAACTGCAGACAGCTGCTGTTTTTCACCTGTTGAGTTGAATAAAACAGCTGTTCCCAATGAATCAGTGTCATTAGGAAGCTTTAGAACAGCTTGGACTATTTGGAATGGTAGAGAACTTTGGATTTTCCCACTGTGACAGTTTTCAAAGGGTATGAATAATTTTGGACATGCCACTTTTTGTTCAACTGTAAATAAAAGCTGAGAAATATTGTTTTCCACAATGATGCCTTTTGTACATCGTCTTATTGTCTTCTGGGAGAAGCCTGTGTCATTTCCGGTCCATAATAATAATAATAATAATAATAATAATAATAAAAGTAACTATAAGTCAAAATTTGCCAGGGGTATGAATAATTTCAGGGTTGACTGTATATAGAATATTTAATATGACATTACATTTTAAATAAGATAAATAATACATTTAATGCATGATAATAATGATGATGAAAC